CTGTGCTTCAAACTGGTGAAAAATCAGAGAAATATCTTTTGTTGTTGGAGAGTAATAAAGGATTTAAAATAGGGAGTTACTTTCGGATCACCCTGTATACTACCGGAGGCACACTACAGACTGACATGCTCAAAACCATTTTCTGAGTTTTAAGCAGCATAGAGGTATTCCATAGATTCCTGGTATACTCTTTACCTTGTGATCATGATATTTATCCTTGTATTTATCACTTATGAACGAACTATGAGCTGCCGCTTTGAAACTAAGTACGACTGCTCCTTAGCTATTATCAACAATTTTTAGAATATTGACTTTTTGATTTTCGTTCGAACAAAAACTTGTTCTAGAGTATATGTGCGTCAATTTGAGTAAAATTGGAATCCACTTCCATAATAGGTGCCCAATAGAGGCCGTCAGATTTTACTCAATTTAAGATATGTTGTCGAGAGAAACGTTTTAAGAATTTCTAAGCAAGCCTTTTCAAAAAATTTTTTTTCTAAGAGAAATATGGTCAAAAAAAGCACACTGGGTGTTTTTTTTGTGACACTCATATCTCATCAAAAATACATCCGTTTGGCTTGAAACTTTTATAATGTATACATCTCAAGGTGATGTATTTATCATGAAAAAATGAGTTCAACTTAGCGAACTACTGATGAGTTAATCAGTACTATCAGGTGTCTGGCAAAGCGGTTATTTATCGGTATTTTGTGCAAGCGCATTTCTCATGAATGGATAATGTGAGGAAGCTCATTTTTTGGCTATAGGGAGACCTCATTGAGTGCGTACTCTAGTAAAAAATGCAGTTCTTTAGATAACTCCTATCGCTCAGGAGACCTTCCACAAAACTGTGATTCTGGCCTAAATCACGACTTTGAAAAGTTTCGATCTCCCAAAAAATAGGGTCTATAGAAGTTGGACTCATGTGGTTTTGAACTACAGATTGAGTACTACAAAGTTATGTAACAATTAACTTGAGATCTTGTAGAATGGTCTGCGGAACCTTATTGAAAAGTATCCAAAGATGGCCCCATTTTCGATAGAAAATACACCCGAATTGGTCTAAAACCTAATAGAAAAGTTTTGCCATATGAAAGAAATTCTATCCAGTATAAATCAGCACATGGCACTCTATCACATTCCATACAAATATCCTTTGAAAATGAGATAAATGTTTTGAAAAATTCCCATAGGCGATACAGAGATTTCCAGAAAAAGCATTTTTCACTTAAAGTCCTGAAGGTAGAGATACAAGAATTTTCGAAAAAAAATGTGTTGTCATTTTCGAAGGATATTTTTATGAATATAATAGTGTCATGTGCTGATTTATACTGGGTAGAATTTTTTCAGCTGATAAAACTTTTATTAATTTCTCAACGAACTCGGGTGTATTTTCTATGGAAAGAGGCTCATTTAGGATATTTTTCAATAAGACCACGCGGACTATTCTACAAAATTTCAGGTCAAGTCTTGTATAATGGTTGTGGGTGGAATAAAACTACACCAACATCCACACCCGTCTTTGGACTGACAGATAAAAAGAGTTGGTCATCTCAACAACTAAATACAGTGTACGTACGACAGCTATTGAATCTTTCAATAGACCAGGACACGACAGAAATAAGTGATATAGATCTAATTCTACTGGGGATCACTTTCGGATATCTTGAGCAAGAGTTTCATATGGCATAAATCATATTTCTGCAGGGGATCGACTTCGTCAGTTATCGACCTCCACCCCTATCCTTTATTCACAAACAAACAGCCTACCGGTTCTTTACAGACAAGACACCGTCGCAGGCCGACTGATAATGAAGGGTTATTCTACAATATAAAAATTCATGGTTGACTTGAAAATGTTTGTAGACAATACATAGGTCTACTCTTTGTTTTGTACTTATTCAAATAAATTTTTTTTTAAATGATTGCAACTTTCTCAATTTTATATTATTCAAGAACGCTCCTATGATAACTTTCAATGTTTTGTTAAATTAAAGATTAAAATTGTGACTACTCCCGTTGATAACACATCTTCAGAATAACAAAATTGAAAGTGATATTCGGAAAAAACAACAGATATGGAGTATAAAATAAATGACTTTAATGATTTTGAAATCATCGAAGTCAAAAAGTCACAAAATCAGTCGTTTTTCCTTGCCAGATATTCATAAGAAGAAGCTTGAAACAAGGTCTGGTACTTCTTATTGATAAATTATACACATACGTATATAGTCTACTTACTCAGCGTATCGTCTATTCCTTTGTCATACTTGTGTGAATAGAATAAATTTTTGTCTTCTACTTTGTACAGAAACTAACTATATATAATTCTCAAACAAATGAGAATCCTTTTTCCCTTTAGAATCTACGTGTCAACCTACATAATGACTTACGAGGGAGCTGTTTCAGCGGTATCCATCTGATTTCAACGGCTCTTCTTCTAGCTATAGATGCTACATAGTGTTCTCATAAAAATCCTAAAAAGACTTGTGGTTCCTATGGATATTTGACTAAGCTATCGAATTTAAAAACATGTCTGTTTTCTGGACCTTAGATTTTCAGAAAACCAAAATATTTTCCAATTTTGATCTGAAACTTTGAATATATGAAGAACTCAACTAGACTAACTTCGGCAAAAGAAATTTCAGCATTTTCCAACAGAATCTCTTTAAGATGCAAGATATTCATGATATAGACTCTTTTTCCACGGTTAGTGTTTGTAACATGGATTTTTTGAAAGTTTTATATCTCGAAAAGGCAAAGTGCGAAAATAGAAGTTTTGCAAAAACCTGAAGTCCAGAAAATATCAATAAGGACTCAAATTCTTTTGAGATTTTTCATTAGAACACTATTTTGTATCTTTAGGCCCAATGGCCTCGAAATCGGAAGGAGACAAGTAAAAAAGGAGATTAATCGATTTCTAAATTTCGATGAAATTTAACAAGCACAACTGTGAAGTTCAAAAACCGAAAAAGAATCAAAGAATCTAAGACAGTGTTGAGAGAAGCCAAAACTATAATATATTCTTCGTCATAGCAACATATCTATCACAACCTGTATGGTTCAACATACAAAACACATTTGAAGAAAAGAGATAATACAATTGTCATATATCACGTATTTATATTTTACGTCTATATAGCAACTTTCTGTTTTTAGCATAACAAATATTTTATTGGTAATAATTTTCTAAACTTTTTGTCTCAGTTATATTGTATAAATGTAATTAACGTGCATCAAAACAATTACGATGATGGCGAGCGTTGCAATTCGTTTAGGATTTTTGATTAATTTTGATGCACTCGGGAAGAAAAATTAATTTTATTTGAAGTGCGTCATAACCAGTTTGAAGTTGAAACGTGTCGAAATGTTATCATGCATATTCAGCAAGATTTTTTAATGAGGTTGAATTATATATTTGAATATGCTTTCATGAAATAAAGGTAAAGTCATATAGACATATCTATTCGCATACGTTTAGTTTTTACATGGACGAAATTCAATGAATTCAACGACATTTCCACAATAAGAAAAATTTATCGACCAACCGTTTCATTGATTTTCGAAAGTTATTTCGAAATAAACTGCTCGAGCCATAATAAATATAAAAGGCCATGCTGTGATTGATGTAGTAAAGAAAAATACTTACTTGCTGAACAAAATATTCTATTTGCTGTTGTTCAACGCTCTTCTTTACCGAAATTGTTATAACATTGTATGAATAAGTGATGAAACGTATTGATACAATTATAGTCGACAAGAAAGCATGCAGAAATGTTAGTATGATCAATTGTTGATTCGTACGTTGAACAAGACATTTTTGAACTCTTGAATTTTGAATTGAAGTGACACGATTTCGTACTTGTTTTATGTGAATCCATGTCATAATGCCAAATATCAACATGCCTCCATGAGGAATAATTAAAATAAAAACAGCAGTATATATGCTGACTATTATTGATTGAAAACTTGATTGTGGTGCACATGTACCATTGCGAAGATCGAATATGATGAGAAGAAAGCTGCTTGAAACTAAATCAATGAGCATGACTACAATGAAAAGATATCGAGCAAATGAAAGTGAACTTAATTGTCGCCATCGTAAACGTGGTGATGTCGAAACACATCGATCGAATGCTGCCAATAAAACACATGTTGATGCCATCATCGGTAAACATACTGGCAAGTAAGAACGTACTTTACAAATACTACTATTGATAACCATTAAATTATTTCCAAAATATTCCGTTGCAAAACGAACAATAATGCCGAAATTGATGAAAACAAGTTCAATCAAAGAAGACCAAGTCAAATAAAATGTACAAGCATTTGTTCGAAAAGTTCGAGATAAAAATGTGATCAAATTCAATAAGCTACCAATTGTTCCAATAATTATTACAGTGAAAAAACCGTAAATAATAAATTCCTGCGTTATTTGTCCTAATGAAGCCATGTCTGTCGATTGCAATCCGAAGAAAATGACAACACTCACTAGAAACCAGAAGCTAAGAATGAAGATGAGTTGTGTTTCTGTTGGTTTAATTATAATATAAAACAAGACGTAGCGGGATAAAGTTTTGAGAGAAAATTGTCTTTTTTTGCTAGAAATATCAGTGCGAAACCACTTATGTTTTAATTACAACATACATTTACATGCAACACAATATCGATTACATGTCAAATCTAATAAGAAGACAAAGAAAGAGTTTTTCCCCCATGTTAATGCTTCTTCATCACACATACGCAAATAGCAGAATTTGTAGGTCACTGCCTAAGAGTGCTGATAATATATAAATGTTGAAGTAGCCAGTTGGCTCAAGATATAAAGACATACACAATAAATTCTAATTAAACCACTAAAAATGTAAAACAATTAAGTTAAAAATAAAAACAATTCCCATTCATTTGTTTACTATTTAAATGAGTCAAAATGAAACGATGTTATGAACGATATAATAACATTAATTTTAATAAATATGACTTATGATTGTATGTTTTTTTTTTCTTTTAATTCTACTTAATTATGTGTGTTCTCGTTTTAAAAGTGCAAGTCATTTGTAGATGATAAACTATATACTTGCTTGTCATTTTCGCAAACTCTCAGCTGATAATTAATGTGCCACATCAAGATTTTAGAATGACGTTGATTAAAATCATGTAAGACATCGAACTGCATCATTTTAAAATAAAAAAAAAAATCTTCGAGTATTTTTAATCTATAGTATTCTTTTTATATAACAAAGAGAAATATAACACAAGAAGTCGATGCAACATCACACGAACAATTATCAAAGATTTAATGCATTGAATTCTATGAGTTTTTATGTCATTGACGAGAGTTCTCTAGCCTAATACAGTATTTTGTGAAATATGATTTTTAATGAATGTTGTAATATATAATGAAAAAGATGAATTTAATGGAATGTGGATAGATCGTGACAAACATGTTAACGTGCTATTTAGATAGGTTGTTAAGTCCTTCTTTTTGTATTCTCTGTCTCATTTTTTTTATTCCTTGAATCAAATCTTTGTGAAAAAAAATTTTAGTTCAACTATAATTTATGTTGTTTTTTCTCGATTAGTATAAGAATTACGATGAATTTGAATAAGTTTCTATATTTTTTATGACATGTTTTCAAATTTAATAGAAGTTTTCTAACTAATATTAATCAACTTTTAATAAAATTCTCGATTTCTAAACATGAACTACTGTAATTTCATTATGCGACTCATTTTGTTTTTGGCATACTATGATGATGAATTTAATCAAAATAGAATTTAACTAATTTACTCATTTATATTAATGAGGGTCCTTACCAAAGACATGTCGTCATTTTATTCGGTATTTTGATAATATTATAAAAGCAAAAGATTTCTTAAGATTGATATGTATTCACAGGTGCAGAAAAAGAAGAGAAAAAGACGATAGTTCTCTAAAGGATTTATCATTATTTATCGAAAAAAAAAAGGTTAGGGTTTAGGAATAGTTTTATGTGTTATCCGAACTGCACACTCCTTGGGAAAGCTATATTTTACAAGGGCAAGAAATGTTGTTCTGTATGAAACTTCAAAGAGAAAAATGTCCATAGGGGAGTTTTCTCTTCAGAGAACATCTGTAAATAGGCACAAATACTTCTAAACTGAAGACCACGATCCGTGTTTCTGCAACAACCATCTTAGTTTTTGCAAAAAAACGTAGATTATATCCATTAGTTATCTGGAATATAATTCGTATTAAGGATTTAATGTGTAAAATCAGTCATTCTTTGTTTTAATTCGATCAAGGTTTTTGCAAAACAACGGCTTTTACTCTAGTCAAATTTATTTTGTTCGAAAAGAATTTTATCAACTGAAATCCGCATTCCCGAAAATAAAATATATTCAAACTTGTTAACATAATTTTTTTATTTTATGGCTTAATACCAATCATGTTGAGACTNATAAAGAATAGACATACGATCAAATTCAATTATTTCTTAGCCACTTTCTTATTGATCAATTCAGTCGACTACGTTCATTGAATCTCACTTACATAAGAGACAAAGATTTGAATGAATTTCAAAAATATATCATGAAATGTTACCTTACAACAGTCCAGAAGTATGAAAGAATTTTTATCATCAGTTTTATCGCGCGATGATCTTTGTAAATTGGAATTTGGAAATGAAAATCATATTCTCGATAATATGCAATGGCCCATTCGGTGTCGATTAGAAAAGATGACAATTGTTAGGGATTGCAGCTGGAATATAGCTTACTTTATCCTTAGTCACTCATCTCATCTACGAACATTGGTTCTGAAAGATTTTCGTAAGGGTAAAGGCAATGAGAATATTGTTTCACAACCTGACATCAAGTAGTCCGATCATTTAACTTCGCTCTCGTTATACATTCATGTTGGCATAACAATGAATGATGTTGAATCACTTCTTACACTTTTACCTAGATTAACACATCTTCGATTGTTTGGCAACACATCTAGAACTGATCCTTCATTATTTGACGGTTACTGATGAGAAATTTTCATTGAAACGAAATTACCTCTGTTAAATCGGTTTGAATTTTATCTCACTCGTCTTGCACTCGAGAATCAAGATTATACTACTATGGAATCGTTGATTACACCATTTTGAACGCCATTCTGGCTTGAAATTAAACATTGGGTTGTTAAATATGACTATGAGTGCGACAAAAATCATTGGAAGCTTCATCTCTATTCGATACCAATCTTTCGCGATGATTTCAATTATTTTAATCGACGAACTACAATCTTAAATTCCATGCGGAACATCACTGCTGACAATGAACCAATCATTGTTAATGCACATCAATTAACCTTAGATTTAAACCAAATGATGACTGAAAATATTCAAGAAAAGGTAAGCGTTATTTTATATTTTCAAATCTTTTTTCTTCTGAGAAAAAAATTCGATAGATTATTAATATTTTATAAGACCGTAATTGTTGTCCAAAGCTCCTTTGTTGTTACTGAAGTTCTCGAGATAATTTTCATCAAAATTCTCGACTTATCAGAATAGATAAAAGAATCCAAATCGTCAATTAGATTTCGTACTAGATCTAACAATGCTGAAAAAGTGACTCGTCTTATCACCCATGTTTCTCCAATAAACAAATTGTATCATAAATAACTCGACGATAAAATATTTCAATACTTTTTCTCGAGTGTTCATCAAAGAAAAAAATATTATTTTTATAATAATAGAGAATAAATGACTCATAATGCTTCACAGAGAATGCTCAAAACTGCCACTATATACTTCAATATAGAAAATTTCTTATTTCTACTTCTAAAATAAATATTTTAACGGATGAGTTAAAAAATAATTAAACTATTTTAAGTCAATATATAATCTATTAGTGTATACCAGTAGACTGAAACAATTTGGATAAGGCTCATCGTCTTGTTCTATTGTTACCGATATAGTGAACCTTTGGTTAGTTCTGTTATGAAGATAGAGATCTCAATTAGATTAACTTATGAACCGAATTCTATTGACATCATTTAATACATGAAGCTTTTGAATAATGTATATTTCAGAAATAGTATGCCAAAAAATTCTATGATTGAGTGCAAACGTTACTCTAATTGAGATAGTAACACTTTTTGGAAGACTAAAAATATCACCAATGTAAACAGAATTCAATCATGTAAATACATAATCAAATAATTAACATCATTGTTTTTTATTAAAACGCTGAAAAAGTTTGTGTTGCATCACTTTTAATATGTCGAAGAGATGGAATTGAGTCAATATATTTGGAGAAAAATGAAAGTAACTTAAAACATCTCTTGGCAATATTATAGATCATTTAAACTTTTGAGTTTGCCGATTGATTTAATGTTAATAGTGTTGAATCTCTCAATAGATTTTAGTCAAAAGTCGTAGATATGTATTTTTTGTAGATCATTCGTTTCGCTGTGGTTGTCCGAAATGAAGCCTTTACATATGGGATTATTAAAAATCCAAACTCTTCGATAAAGGACACTCGAACATATTTTTTAAGACATAGTTTGTAAATTTTCTACATCGTTGTCGACTGCATTTAAACAAAGTTCTTTCATTTAAATTTGAAATTCTTTAATAAGACTTCTTAATTTCATAGATAAATAATCATCCGTATTGATTTTATGATTTTGTTTGACATAGAAAATATTTATATTTTTTATTTTTAGACTAATCTAACAACGAAGTATACATTTCGAAATGTAAAAGAACTTACACTGATGATTAATCAAAAATGGCCCATCAACTCAATTGAACATCTTTCAACGATTGTTAATCGATCGAATCTTCAAAAAATATGCTTGAATTTTCAGTGTGAGTGCAACTTCGCTGTTAGTTTGAATGTCAAAATGAATTCTCTATTCAAGCGAGCATGTAATCTTCGTTCAATACGAATAATCTGCAATGATTATGATTGTGAGAAAATGACGTTGATAACTCGCAATGCTATCGGTTTGAAATTACCACGTCATATCAAACAACTTGATATTGAAATTACGCATGTGGACGATGCCAACATAATATTGGAAAGACGCAAACATCTGTCAAATGTCACATTTCGACTGCTTGATAACGGAGAGCAATTCGCGGATAAGATCACTAGTTGACTCACGGAGATGAAAAAAGACTATGTATATAGATTGGATTGGGACATTTTCTTGTAACTGTAAATGCTGTGGTTCAGTGAAAGCAGTGTACTTGTGACTAGACAAAACCATGAATAAGCAATCGAACATATCACATGGGTACAAACGTGTCAAGTTAACTCAAGTCTAGCATTAATCATAGTTTATTGGTTTTATTCATTTAGACAAACATAATCTCAAAATATTCATGGGCCTACAAATCAATTCATTATCTAAACTATTTTTGCTTTAAATAAATATGAATAATTTGAAACAATTGATCAATTCAATTTAATTTTAAT